TCCTAGAACCTCAGCTGTTTGCCTTCTGAAACCTGCAGGTGCTATACTGGAATCTTAATTTAAATTTGTAGGAACTTACCAAATGCATTAATCAGCAACTCTGAAAGACTAAATAAAAAAAAAAAAAAAACTTATAAAATGAGCTTTGCCTGTTTTATTGCTTTGTTTTGTTTTGTTTTAGTGAAATATAATGCTTTAAAAATTTAAATTACATTGAAATTAATTTAAAAATAACAACATATTTATAAAACTGGTTAATTTGAACAACCACAACAATGAGTTTAACAATGTTGAACAACAATGAGTTGGTTCATATTGTTAGTTTTGTTTAGTTCTCTTATTTTTTCACCAGTTTGGGCTAAAGTTAGTTCACTTGTATGGATTTTCTTACAGTAAATCAGTCAAAGAACCCCTATTATGATGCTCTGTCTTTGTAGTTGGATTTTCATCCTAGTAGGAGTTGTATGAGAATTTTCTATTTCACTTTCCAATGTGGCTTTCAGTCATATAGGATGAAGTCAAAAGTTGTAAATGTCTGCAGTTCCCTTTTATTTGCCCAGTAAAGCATATTATCTATTGGTTAACATGTTTATTTTTAGTGCTTGAACAGGAACATAAAACTGAGATGCTGTTTCTGGCTTGTATTGATAGAAACACTAAAACAAATGGCAGTGTTTAAAGATTGGCGACACTCTGGCTTTTAGTGGGGTTTATTTTCCAGCTCAGAGTTTAACACAAATTCAACCCAACATTTGACTTTTAGTCGAGACTGTCTCTGTGTTTGAGCAAGAACTTCCATTTATTTTCAGCTTTAACTAGATTTAGCAATTGTCTTCAAGCTTAGCCTCTAAACCAGAAAACCTTTGACTTTGTTTGTGAAGAAAATAAAGTTATTAGAATAGGTTTATCAACATTTGAATGTCTTTAAACCTTTCTAATTCTACCTTTTAACTTAAGAAAAAAAATCAATTGAGAAGAATTATAAGAATCTAACAAACTTTACTGAATGACAGCATTTTACTTTTCTTGGTCATTTCTGAAACATATTCCTATTAAACATATTTTTTGTTCTGAGCAATGTTAAGTTGAAATCAGTTTTAACAAAATGTGCAGTATTACACCAGCTTAATTGGCAAAAACTGAACAGTTTGTTTTATCAGTTTAAATTAAAATGCACTTTACCAACGTAATTATTTTCACTGTGACATAAAAGAAAATATCTGCTGTCATCAACATATATATACAATGTTTTTTATGCCCAAAGTGTGAAAACGTTGAGAAGTAGCCGTGCTCCTAGAACAAGTAATTTTGCATTCCAAACAAGTAAAAAAAAAAAAAAAAAGATCCACAGGACTTTGTTTCCAAGTTTGAAGATGTCTTGCTTCCCATCAAGAAAGCTTTTTCAATTCAAAAATGTATTTATTTATTTCTATTTAAAAAGCTTCCTGGATAGGAAGGGAAAAGTCTTTAAACTTGGAAAGAAAGTCCAGTGGATTTTTTTTTAACTTCTTTGGAATGACTATGACCTGGATGACTAAGAATCTTCACCGACAAGTTATTTTGCTGTTAGTAAAAGTTGCTTACATTAAAATTTCTTAAATTATTCCATTTTTTGCAGTTGAAATCAGTTTTTTAATGATTTGCTTTAAAACAACAGGTAAACTTTTGTTAAAAGCCACATTTTAACCGAGGTAGTTTTTGTGGATATATTTAGCTTGTTAATGCATCAAATGTATTTAATCTTAATCTCTACAGATCTACAGAACAACGTAGGCTGTGGTCAACAGTGAATTCTGGTGATAATCTCTTTTAATGTGTTTTTTTCTTGATTAACCATTGTCTTTTAGGCTGAAAAATCCTTTGTTAAGCATCTTTAATACTTACCCTATAAACATGTGTTTGGAATGAAATCTTTTTGTTAATCTTAACCTAATGTTGTTGTTTTTTTTGGGGGGGGGGATGCATTTATTTGCCTTATTAAAGAATTTAAAAATGGGAATTTCACCTCATTAAATATGAATGGATAAAACGTATTTCTTTCCATTTTAGAGCATCTAAAATGCATGCTTGTATTTGGCAGGTGTTTGTTTTGTGGCCTGGCACATCACGCAGCTTGTAGGTCTCGCGTGTTTTCTAACTGGATCAACACCTTTCCACAGACTGACACATGAGCGCTCGTTAAAAGCCAACAGCACTTGTATATAAACGTAAAGGACAGACCAGAGGGGACATCATGGGCCGCTCACACACAAATACAAGCGCTGTTCCTCACTACAATGAGCCCTTGTATCTCCGGCATGCGACTAACACCGGCCCCTAATCCAAGAGTCACCACGTTTTTCATTAGCAATGAATGTTGACTCTGATAAGAGTCCTGACAATGATTATTCTGTGCCTCTTTTATTCCTCCTCTTTCCTTTTTTTTTTTAACATTTTTTTCCTAACTCAGGTGAATTCTTATCATGTGATCAAAACCAGCGCCCCCTTCTCCAGTTAAAAGAAAAAAAATGAACAAAAAGAAGTTCTGTGTACATCTATGGGGGGGAAAAGGAATGAAAATAGTAAAAAGGCTTGTGTCTTGTATTGCTTTGCCACTGATCCCTGGCACAGAGAGTAAGAGCCTTCCGGAGCGCGGCGGTGTGGCCCGGGGAGCCGCATGGGACAGTCCGCCTCATGGTGCGGTGCGGCGGGGACCTTCAGAGCGCAACTCCGGGAGTTTGGTTCAGGATGCGGCTGAGGATGAGCGGCTGCTGTGAGTTTAATAGGGCCACACATATGGGCGTATACAAGAGAAATGGAAAGAAAACGCAGCGTGTTTTAGGAGCTCGTGAAGGAGATGGATGCACTTGCCGTTTCACGCGTCTTAAAAAAAATGTATTCGTCACGTTTTAGTCTAACAAAGACCTGACATAGATAAAGCTTTGATGTTTTGCATCATACCGACTCATATTCTTATTATAGATTATTTTATTGCCATTGCAATGACTTATAATAAATAAACATTCATGTATTATAACACAAAGCTACGCTTTCCTTGTAGGAAAATAAAAAATACCAGTTAATTTATGGTATTTTTGTCTATAAAACTGTATAGATAAAAATTAGCCTAACAATTTACATTTCAGCTCATTAAAAAAAAAAAAAATTAAATATTTAAATGTGAAGAAACTACTTAGAGAAAATTCCACTGTAGCTTTTTCTCTTAAGTTTGGTTTAAAACTTTATTTTGGATACTATAAAGGGGTTCGTTTTAAAGCGATAAACAGCTCAAGGTTTTTCAAGTTTAAATTACCAAAAATTATCATAAAAACTTATGGAGATGTTTTAAATCAAATTATTGTAAAAGTTTATTAAAGCCTTAAAAGCTTTCAAAAATTAAAGCTGATTTCCTTGAAAGTTAACAGCTATGATCAAATAAAAAAGATAGAGAAAAAAGAGAAAGGGAGGGGTTTGATCTTAACTAAAACATTTGAAGTGAAGTGAAGATGAAATGAAGATATCAAAGAGAAAAGCCTATGAGGAAGAATGCTGGTAGTCTGTTTGCTGGAAGGAACACGTGACATTTACATATTTTCAGACCTCTATCAGTGCAAAGCACATCAATTCCTGGTATCTTTTCTTAATACTGTTATTATTTGTATTTGAATGAAGTTAGTTTAAATAAATCTTTTCCTTAACTAATTTCAGCCCAACTTTTCAATGAAACTGGATCATGTTATTTCTTCTAAATGAAATGAGTTTGATAATGATTCCTGATATAGTAAAATGATGTACAAATGAAAAGTATTGACTTTAGCAGCACATTCTTTCAGCCTATGTTAATCACCTCATATCTTAATGACCTATGTGTTCATACCTGATTCTGTTTGAGGTGAAGCGTCTCTGCGTTTCTAAAAATGAACCTTAGGGAGGGGCGGGGAGTTAGACATTAGCCATTTAAACTTTTTCTTTAAGTGAGCTAATTATGCACTTCAATATCAAAGGTCTTGCATTTCCTAAACATTATATTCTTATTGCTAATAAATCCCCAAAGTAAAATTTAAATGAAGATAACACAGCCTACTAGGTATTCTCGTTCATAATTCCTGCTGTGCAGACTATTTTTTATATAAAAAAAAAAAAAAACTCAAGTTATTTTAAATATATGAATGGCTATTTGACTTACCACTGAGAGTGTTTCTGTGTTGGAAAAAATATGAATGTCTGTGTTTAGCTTCTAAGTTAAACAAAAGCATTAAAACAGATCATTGAAGCATTAATGCTGAACTCTTATAAGTCTTTATTAGCTGAGCTTTTAAACAATCATTGGGTCAAACATGTTTGCAAGCTATGCCTCCTAATACTGAGGCAGTCTTAGCTAGAGAACAGCACATCTCGATTGTGGTTATAATACCACCCTTCTATAATAACCTTTCTCTTCACCTTTCAATGGTTAAATGAAAAAAAATAAATAAATAAATATGTATATATATAAAATATATTAAAATATATATATAAATATATGAAGGTTTACATACGTTCCCATCTAAGAAAGAAACATTTCAGCTGCCTGTAAGTTAAATTGAACTTGACAAAAGTAATAATAAACAACAATTATGAAAAATGGAAATCATGACATTGATTTTGAATATAACTTTATTCATAAATATGTATATATATTAAAAAATAAAGCAAGTAAACAAGCCTGGTGGAGCTCTTGAAAAGAAATGTTGACGATCAAAGAGACGACCGCTG